CGAGTAATGGCCAAAATCACTTATAACTTTTCTAGACCAAAATTTCACGAGCTTTCAGAATGGTTATGTGAAGTTTTGCCCTAAAATCAAGCCTTTTCGAAAAAAATGGGAAAATTCGCGGAAAAGTTCGGAATTCTGAGCAATTTTGGGGGGTTTAGGGGGGGCTTACTCCCACGATAGAATTCGCGTAAACAAGAAAAATCTTATTCTACTAGTCGAGAGCTTCAAAAAAATCACCATCTTCAAAATTCCCACGGGGGGGAGGGTTACCCCTTGCTGGCCCACGGTCTATTTAGGACTATTTCTATCTTAAAGGGGACCATCTTCCAGAGGGTTCAAAACTTTTGTCAGTCCCTCGGGGGGGNGGGGGGGGGGGGGGGGGGGGGGAGCCTCGCCCCCAAATTTTTTTCCAAATGGTAACCGCTTTTTTGTGATACATCATTAGAAAGTACATAAAAAACTAAGAATTTTGGTGCAATCCGCAGATCGATAGGTATCTTAATTTTTGACCGAGTCATAGGTCAAAGGTCAAATTTGAACTTTCTTAAAAAAATCATAGGTCCGGTTCAAATTACCGAAGAGAAAAAAATAAGACGGGAAAATCTACCAAAGTTTAAGCACTTTTAAGTAAAAATCACTTAAATTTGAAGGGGGGGGGGAGTTCGGACCCTCAAATACGTCAGTTCAAAGGTCATACGATTTTTCCGCGAAATGAGCCAATTTCCCCTTACTTTCCCTTAAAATTATCTCGGTAAGTTCAAAGTCAGTTCAACATTACGTTTACAAGTCCCCAAGTTTAAAAAAAACGAAATTTAATCGGTTAAATTTCATCACCTTAAATTTCGTTTTTTGAACTTTGCCCAAAATTTGAGGACTTGTAAACGCAATATGATTTTGAACTTACCGAGATAATTTTGAGGGAAATTAAGGGGAAATTGGCTCATTTCGCGGAAAAATCGTATGAACTATGAGCTGACGTATTTGGGGGTCCGGAGCCCCCCCCCCCCCTTAAAATTAAAATTTAAGTGATTTTTGTGATTTTTACTTAAAAGTGCTTAAAATTTGGTAAATTTTCCCGTCTTATTTTTTTCTCTTCGATAATTTGAACCGGAGTTATCATCTCTTGAAAATAGGTCAAATTTGACCTTTCACCCATCATAACTCGAACAAAAATTGAGATATTGATCTGCGGTTTGCGCCAAAATGCTTAGTCTTTTATGTTCTTTCTAATAACTATCACAAGATAGGGGTTACCATTTGAAAAAAAAGTTGGAGGCCCCCCCCCCCCCCCGAGAGACAAAAAAGTTTTGAACCCCCTGGAAGATGGTCTCCTTTGAGATAGAAACATTCCCAAAGTTTCGTTGTTCTATCTCTAACCGTTCAAAAGTTACCAATGGGGTACGGACTTTTGGGAAACCCAGTATAATACTCAGTATACGCCTCCTTGTTTTTGAGGGGAAAAAACACACCTTATTGCTCTTTGATTTGTAACCTGCTTACCGAAATGTATTTTGCTCTTTGATTCGTAATATTTTCTTAATTGTGAAGAATTTATCTTCTATTAAGGCGATTCAATGGACGCCATATTTCGTGTCAAAACGGCATGCGATATATCGCATCAATTGGTTCCATTTTTTCAGCTACTCGTCATTTTTCTCAAATTTTGAGATCGCAATTCTGTATTCAGGAGACTAAAGCACTCACTTACCTATTTTAACAAAAAAATTCAACGTAATAAAGGCGTGATTTTCTTAAAGAGAAAACATAGCATTCGATACTGATATCGAAACTGCACTGGAATGCGATATTTTCTCTCTAAAAAAACCACGCCTTTATTACGTTGAATTTTTTTGTTAAAATTGGTAAGTGAGTGCTTTAGACTCCTGACTATAGAATTGCGATCTCAAAATTCGAGAAAAATGACGAGTAGCTGAAAAAATGGAACCAATTGATGCGATCTATCGCATGCCGTTCTGACACAAAATATGGCGTCCGTCGAATCATTTTAAAGCTTTCGTGAATATACTACCTATATTATCATCAGAAGAAATTTTAACAATAGGTATTAATGATGCCTTTCTTATAATTTTATTTGCGAAGTGACAGTTCACTTGAATGTATTTCGAATTTTTAGGTGGTCAAGTTTCCAAGTCTTGCTCTTGTGAGAGCTCCTGAGTTATATCCACACAGGATTGGATCCTTAACATTAACGCTTAATGTTTCTAAGAGATTTACTACAATCATAATCTCAGAAGTAGCCTCATATAAAGCAACATATTCGGTATGAGTTGAAGATTTTGTGACAAAGTTTTGTTTGCGGGTTTTCCAATAAATAAGAAGGGTTTCCTTAAAATCGAATAACATACCCAGAATTACATTTGTGGTCAATATGATCGATGCCCTGTCCGAATCAACAAATGAGTCTAATACCTTTTTTTCATTGACATTTAGTTTTTTCGAGACATAATATAAAGGCTAATACTTTAGAACTCTCAGCGCGTACTTATAGTGTGTTTCATCAGCACAAGTAGTAAATCTATTGCGGCAGTTGACGCTGTACGTTATTTCAAGGCAAGTTGTGCTACTTGTGTACAGGAGGGCACCAATATAAGATTTCTGGAAGGTAAATTTGGATCAAGATTTTTCCTCGGATCCACATGGACATGAAGATAGGAAGATAGATAAGACCCTCTTTACGCCCTTCGATCAAAGAGGTATCACCCGGGTTCGAAGGCATTACGTGTAGGTATCCTTGAAATTCAAGTCCGAGCCCGCATAGGTGGGTGAATCCAAATAAGGGTCAAATTTCAGGTTCAATTTCCTCCCAAAATTTTTTTGTGAATTTTTGGGCAAACCAAACTTTATTTTGACTCTCATTAGGTGTAGATTTAGGAAATATAGCTCGTCGAGCTTAATAGTTATGCTTAAACCCGAATTTCCACCGTCACGTGTATCACTTCCCAAAATTTGCTCTAATTTTGCCTGATTTCCCAAATTTCCATCTCAGAGGTGACATATAATACTTTTAATTGAAATTTGAACGCAATTGTCATAAAAGCATCGTCGAGCACTAAATTAAAGCATAATTGAAAACATGTAACCCTTTCATATCTTACAGAACCAAAAGAATTCATCCGTCATGAAAGATATCTGGAGCTTATTCTGCTTATTTTTTAGACAGTTCCGTCTGTTTATCCTACTGTTTTCCTTTAACACGAGAAGAAGCTTTTATTTCTTGGAATACTGCAATACAAAATTGATCAAAAACATCGAATTTTAAAACTTCAAGTGGGCGTGTACCCGCTGAAGTGGAGGTAAAGCCAGGAAAAGTTTGAGGAATTGCATTAACATATCAATTACACTGGTCAACGTTTTTTTTTTTTTGATTTTCCGAAGATTTGCCAACGGTTTTGGAGTAGATTTTTGGCGCTGATTCCGAAGATCACCTCCATTTACCTGTATCAGTGCGACTTATCCCGGGAAAGTTCGACATTTTTCCGGAGAAATCGGAATTGTCCTTAAAAATCTAGCTTTTCCAGCAGAGTCAATCTTCCGGGAGAATCTGTGCACGATGGAAAAAACCTAGGAATTTTTCGATTTCGTAGCCTAAGATACATAAGAAACCATGTATTGCACCCCTATTAAAATCTTTCTTTTCCTAATGCCAAGGTTTTCCGGTCCAGTTTCATTAAAATCAATTAATTAGTTACTGAGATAGCATTTTAGGCAACGTCCGCCATCTTGGATTTTCAAATTTTGAAAATTTGACTAAAAATTCGAGTTTCCCATTCAAAAATATCCCCGAGTACCAAGTTCCGCGTAAATCGATTGATTAGGCGCTGAGATAGCATTTTAGGTCATGTCCGCCATCTTGGATTTTCGAATTTCGAAAATTCTACTAAAAATTCAAGTTTCCCATTGACAAATACCTCCGTGTACCAAGTTTCACTTAAATCGGTCGAAAAGAGCGCCTACAGGGCTTAAACAAACAAGTCTCAGTTGATTAGACGCTGCGATAGCATTTTAGGCAATGTCCGCCATCTTGGATTTTCGAATTTTCAAAATTCGACTAAAAATTCGAGTTCCCCATTGAAAAATACCCCTGGTTACCGAGTTTCACTTAAATCGGCAGGAAAGAGCGCCTACAGGGCTTAAATAAGCAAGTCTCAGTTGTGACAGTTTTCCAATCTGTCCCACTGAACTGGGACATGGGACAGGATGGAAACATGGGACAGGATGGAATGGGACAAGATGGAACGGGACAGGATGGAATAAGCTGTTTTTTAAGCTTATCTCTAACAATAAAGACAATTTCGGTGTTTTTTTTCACGGAATATTTAGTAGCACGTCCTAGAGGATCGGAATAAGAGAAAATTTTCCCTAATGCACACTCCGAAAGTATTTTACGAGCTGATATTAGTGTGTGTGTGTATGCTTGACGCCCTGTTAGTTATCGTGTAAAGCATTCTGTTTGGCATCATTAATGGCGGTAATCTTGCACAAAAATTTGCGAATTTCAGAATTTTTGCCATCTACGATGTCAATCAAAACAAAAAAAGTAGTTTTTGGAAAAACCTCAACGTTACGGCAATCATATAGAGCTTATTACATCGTTGCCATGTCTCTCCTGACTGTTGCTGACTGTTGCTCGGGACAATGATTCTAGCGCGTGAAAAAGTTATTGATGGAGCAAAAAATGAATTGACATTTTTTTTTCTCAAATTCAAAAGCATTATCTATCATCTCCAATAAAGTTTTCTTAAATAATCACTCTAGTTATGCTGCAACATCGATTTAAAGTCAAGAACGAGGCACGGGGGACACGCAAATTTGGGACAAATGTAGGCAATTTACACATTCAAAGTTCTCCTAAATTTTTATTTCAGTCCAAATAAAGTTGGAAACAGCATGTAATAGTCAACAATAGTCTGGAAAATGAGAAAAAAATTTGATCTGCCCATGTTTCTTAGATTATGACGATTAAAACAGCTGGGGACACCAGATTAGACGCTTATTTGAACTCACCCAGGTACCACGGAAAATATTCCAAGTCCAAAATTCCGGAGCCCGCGCCGCGCGCACCAGGCGCACCTTGGAAAATATTTCAAGTCCCGAATTCTGGAATCGGTAGACTCGGTGCTCTGCTTTTGTCTAAGGGTCCACTCGGGAGTACACGGTCCGATTCTGGATCTTTTTGTATATGGCCTCCAGGTAGGTTAGGTCACTTGACACCACCACCATACTAAAGTTAGGTTGCTAGACATCAGCATACAATGCGATGTTGCTATAAGTTGCACCGAAAATTAAATTATTTATTGCACCATATGGCAGTATCTGTGCTCAAACCTCCATTTCCATCCTACTTCGGTAGAATTCATCCTACTTCGGTATAATCCACCCTAGATAAGTTTACACACTTGTAGACTGCGACAGAAGATCCATCACCTTGATTCCTTCATTTACTTTACAAGCAAAAGTAGTGACGTCAGACGATCTTCTGTCGCGGTCTAGAGGTGGGTAAACTTATTTGGCGTGGACTCTACATGTCCACTTTTTTGGGTGGGAAGGGGTAAGGTCCGCGGAAACTCGAGTAAAAGTGAATATGTTGAACTGAAACTAAATATGCACCCGTAACTTAATGATAAAATACTAAATTTGTGAAATTTCTTCCGAAATAAATTCATGCCGCGGTATAAATGCGCGGACTTTATACACAAAAATCCGTCTTCCCTACTTACCGACAGCCCCACGGACACTCCGGACGTTTTTTTGCTTAATGACAGTAGAGTGAGCCGGTGCAGCACATGACAGCTTTATATTCTTGGACCGAATAATATGAGACAAGTTAGTGACTTGATTACCCCTATATACCTAGTACACTCTGAGAATCCATTGAACCAACATAAAAGTTCTAGTAAGCCTAACCCGACCTCTGCCGAGACAAACCGAACTCTGATTGAGGTTGCCACAACAGCCACATGCCACATATATTGGTTGGAGTAACCGAAATTTCCGGTTGTGCTAAAGAAGACGTTTGGCTTATCAGAAACTCTGTGTCTCCCTCAGAAATTTCCAGTTGACGCCACTAAGAATTCTGGTTCTGAAATTACTCTAATTTTTGGTAGCCTCAACCAGAGTGCCGGATCTGGTTATGAACCTCGGACTATGTTTTCAATCCACTAAGCACTGACTTCACGGTGATGTATCAGAGTGACGTCAAAATCACGTTGGAGATATATTATCGTGGTATCATCCCAGAATGTATTACGTAAAGCGGCGTGATGTCTCAGTGAGGTCAGAGCCGGATTTACATTTTTTGCGCCCTAGGCTAAACTTAGGGTGGTGCCCCTGAAAGTAAGCGCTCTTGTGGGGAGGGGGGGGGTCCCAGATGCCCCTCCCCTTAAGATCAGAGGGAGGATGTTAGGTGTCAGGACCTTTGATGACAACACAAATGACATTTTTTAATAAGTCACGTTTTTGAATAAATTCTCAAAAATGTTGCGCCCCTCAGAATGCTGCGCCCTAGGCTATGGCCTATGTAGCCTATTGGTAAATCCGACCCTGAGTGAGGTGGTCATTATGACTCTCTTTTACTAGGGGCTCATTTTCACATTCATAACATTTTTCTCTCAACTTGGAATCTTAACAAGAGAAAATGTGCGGCTACTCAAACTGGATGCGTAACACTACTTCGAATTCTACCCCTTCCCTCCCCTCCCGAAAATGTGACTTGTTCCTAAATATTTACTATAGTCCAAATTTTATCAAAAAGATACCGAGTTATAATATTTGTACATTTTCTCAAGGAGCTCGTCCTTGAGATGAAAATGTTTTTGTATAAATTACCTTAATACACATACCTGCGGATATGTTATTTGGTGCTCACTCATGACCGAAGGGTAACCGTGCATAGTCATGTTCATAGATACGTTGACACTCATGCTCGGGAATATAGGTGATTGATTTGTATTAGTGTTAGCTGACCAGTTTCCACCTGCATTGCTTGTCATACAGAGATCAGCGGGGTCTAAATTAAAGCCGGGCACTCCATTATTGCAGCCTCCTCCATCAGAGTATGAACCAGCTCCCGGCGAGACAGGCATCATCTACCAAATAGAAGCACGTTTTTTTTTTATCCTACGCTCATATTTAAGTCTGTTGGGGGCCCGTTTGAGAAGAGCACAAAGTTCCAAAAAAATTTATCAAGGGAGGCCTCTCGTATCCTCCATTCTTTTGAAACATAATTCTAAAATCATCCCCCATTATCGAGAGGATGCACTTTAGGAGGAGGGGCCGAGAGGCCTGTACCATCGATCGCGGTTATGCGCCCAAACATCTTAAATTCTGTTACCATACCCTGGAATCGGATTTAATTTACTACGCAAAAAAAAATGTAAAGAAAATGCGATGGTCATCTTAATACTAGAGAGGTGAACCTTTAGGGACCTCTCACCACAGAGTGCACTTAGCGCCCCATAATGCAAGAGATACAGCCGTGCGAGTAGACTTTTTAGTGGTTAAATGACACGAAAATTACGATGCTCACATTAAAAAAGTCTGAAATACACTCCTTATTGCGCAATTTGCGTTGTCAGGAACGCGCTTTTTCAAATTTCCCGCGTCTGGGGGCAGTTTTCTAACGGCAACTCGCGGCTATTTCCGGTCAACTAAAACTGACAACATAGCCTAAAAATCGGAGCTCGTGATATCGTGAAATGAAATGTAGAAGGATTGCGTTGGATATTTAAAAGTTGATCGATATGGTTACTGCATAAAGCGTATATGGACCACTATAAGAGATCACGTTGGGTTTGTAAACAAACTGAAGGAAAAAATAACAACAACAACAACGACTCGACATCTTCCGGAAATAACCGAGCCCGCCGTTTGCTCGTTTCCGGTGATTAGAAAACTGCCCCCAGACGCGGGAAATTTGAAAAAGCGCGTTCCTAACAACGCAAATTGCGCAGTAAGGAGTGTATTTCAGACTTTTTTAATGTGACCATCGTAATTTTCGTGCCATTTAACCTCTAAAATGTCTATTCGCGCGGCTGTATCTCTTGCATGCAACAGGCCCGTTCCAAAATCTAGCCCTATCTCTCTTCCTCTATATAGATACTTTAAGCTCTCAAGCCTCCTAAATTTTCATTTCTGGTATCGCTTAAATTCAGCGTCCCCCAAATAGCATCTTTCAACGGAAAAATCGCGATATTTCGAAATTAAATTGCGATTTTTTTACGATTTTATCGGTGATAAAATCGCTAGGATCATCAACATCTGAGCGATTATCCTCGATCATTCGCGATTTTATTGCGATTTTATCGCGATAAGATCGAGTATAATCGCTCAAATGTTGATGATCCTAGCGATTTTATCGCCAATAAAATCGCCAAAAAAATGGAGTTTGCGCTGTCAGCCGATTTCCGTCAGGTTCAGCTGTCAAGTCCTTTAACAAGTACGAGAGTATAATCCCCGGAGCCTCCGCGGGGATTCGAACCCGAGTTGCAACGGTGGTAGGCCTGCACATTGCCACTAGGCTATGGCCGCTATATGACTAACGTGTGCGAATTGAAGCCTCGTATACATGGATCGGCGCTTCGCAACCTCACAACTTTTGTCATTGAGTTGACTGACACCGAGTTTTCATTGGATTTTTTTTTTTATTTTCCCTCCTCCGTATTTTATTTCATACCTTGAAATACGGTTGGTAAAATAAGGCTCTATTGGTAATCTCATCATTTTGTCTCTGTAAAATTATCAATAATAGTGAGATGGCAAAGTTACGGATGGACCTTGTTAAACACGCCAATATTTTTTATCGACGGTGGTAGAATTACCGAGATAAAATGGTAAAGTTACCGGGAGTTGATTACCGATAAAAGTGGTATTCTTACCTGAAAAAACCAGTAAAAATACCGGTTTTTAGGTAAGCTTACCAGTCTGTCTTGGTAACATTACCAATAATTGGTAAAAAAAGTGAGATGGTGTAAAGTTACCAACGGACCTTGGTAAAAACGCCGAGAGTTTTTTTTCTCAATGTGGGCGTACCTCCTACCATCCCAACTCCACGCCCAACCACGTATCGAATCATTCTTACACCTCCACTAATTGCAATTTAACCCCTCGAAACAAACTCCGCGTCACCCCATTCCTCCTCTTCTCACTCCCAACCCCACCCCATACCCTTTCCTTTATGACCATGCAGAGGCGATTTTAGAAGTAGGCACATTTTCATCTTAATGGGGGGGGGGGGTGGCGGCGGCATAGAAACATCTTTCATAAGCATCATTCATGCGATAGTGGGCGTTGATGAAAAATTGCAATTTTTTGCAATTTTATCTCTATAAAATATCGTTCGATAAAATCGAAATATTATCTCAATTTATAGCAATTTTTCTCCCTATAATATTGCGATGAATCGCCGTCAATAAAATCGCGATTTTATCGCAATTTATCGCGATTTTTTATCCGATAATATTACAATAAATCGACGTCGATAAAATCGCGATACATTCTCCGTTTAAATCGCAATTTATCGCAATCACTGCTACTTGGGTCTGCCGCGACGATTTTCATGATTTTTACGGCTTTCGATAGGTAATTGTCTCTAGATGTACCCGCTTTATTCAGATTTTGGAAATATGACCCAGGTTTTTGTACATTATGTGGTAAAGCTGAAAATTCTCCCATGTGAACAATGTTAAATTTCATTTTTTGTCACAGTTCCTTTGAGCATTTTACTGGGCCGATTTCTATGATTTTTGTAGCTATCGACGGGTGATAGTCCTTAGATGAGCCCGCTATAATCAGATTTTTGAAATAGGACCCACCCTGAAAAAGATAGCTTCATGATTTAACCAGAACTTCTCGTTATAGAAATTCTAGTTGCCACAACCAGAACTCTGAATGCGACTATCAGCTGTATCGGTTGACGCAGCTATATGCGCTAGTTCGCGTAACCAAACATTTCTTGCTGGGGTAGATCTGTTTATCCGAAACAAGCATTTCTGGTTAGGAAGACCAGGCATCTCAGAATGATCCGCGTATCCAGCAATTCTGGTTCGCTCAGCCTAGACGATCTGGGTGTTGAGTTATGAGCCAGAACGGCTCAATATTTCTGGTACGAACCAGACATTATGTTTCACCCTTCAATCTGGCTGGTTGGTATTTGACCTTTGCCGATAGGCCAAAAAATAAGTTACTGTATTCATTTCCATTTCAATTTGCTCTTGCGAAATAAGAATAATAAAAAAATGAGAATAATAAAAAAATAAGTTTAATAAAAAATTAAAAATAATACAAGCTAAAAATGATTGAAAAAATAAAATAAGTAAAAGTAACAACAAAATAAAATTACTAATAAAGATAACAAAAAATGAAAATAATAAATAAATAAATAAAAATAATGAAACTAAAAAGTGAAATAAATAAATAAAAACAACGAGAAATACAAAAAATATGAAAAAATACTGAAACTGTAAAAATTATGAAGAGATGAAAGAAATTAAATACAATTATGGATTCAATTTGAAATAAATGTCAATGAAAATAAAGTAAAAATATTGAATGGTATAATTGAAAAACGATGATTCTAACAGTCGGAAATTACGTTTAATATATGTTACAAGTTAACTCCGTTACTTTGCGATCGTTTTTTTCTAGCTGGTCCAAAGCCCAGGAAAAGGAGGAGGGTTGTGCGTAGGGCTAGCAACCCTACCACGTAAAAACATCCAAGCTGCAAAAACCAAGTTGGAGGCCAAAGCCCACCCCGGGCTGTAGCGTCACTAGTAAGTAAGTAATATTTATGTTACAAGTTACATCGAACACATCAGACCTCACGACCTTTCAATATCTCATTAGCTATGTTTATGCGAGCCTCATAACCTAACTTCAATCGAAACCTGAGTTTGAAACCAAGGTTCAACTCTAGTTCAAATCACGGCATAAACGATACGGATGAACTAACGAAATGTAGGTTTCCGAAATTTGTGTTTGAAACCTTATTTTACACTAAAGACTAGGTTTTCGCACTCCGCATAAACGAACCGGAGGTTGAAATTAGTTGAAATTCGACTTCAAATGCGATTTTCAGGTGCGCGATCGGCAATAAGGCGGATTCATTATCATAACGTTCGTAAACAACTGGTGCTTATCCCACGATTTAGCTTTAATTTTGCCATTATTCAACATTTTTTACAATCATAATTTTACTATAATTGTTGCTTAAGCACTTTTACGTGATTCCTTCAGTTATATGTGGCTTATTTATCCTTATTTAGCTAAACGTAGGGCGTTATTTTCTAGTGAAGGTGTTTAGTGTCAGATGGAATCCAGGCTTATTACTGCTTTTTCAGATAATTCTTGCAACTCTAATCAACATTTAATGACTACAGAAGCAAAGCAAGCAAAGAGCTTTACAGGCTACAATTGAGTAATAGCCTTACCTACCAGTTCATCATCTGCGGAGAACTTTTTTACTGTATCCACACGATTTGCCTAGGATTTCAAGATAAGGCACCCTGCTTCCCTTTAAAAAGTGCACCGAATTTTTTCATTTCATTCTACCGATTAAATCTGAAATCTGATCCAATCAGAGCTGTGTAGCTCTTGAATTTGTGTGGTATCCATGTATCTATTTCCTGGTTGTCCTACTGAAAGTGAGAGACCAGCCACAACCGTGACCTGCTGACTTATTTCTTTGATCCAATCTCTTGTAAATGATGACTCAAATTCTGAGGCCATCATTTATTGAAACTTGTTCAAAGTTATTGCTCCAAAGTATCGTCACTCTTTCATACTGAGGCAGAAGGAAGGAGATTTTTTGGTGAGTACTCTGTTATCCAAGATTTGCAATTTGAGATAAGAATAAGGTTTTTATTGAGGCGTGTAACAATTTTTGGTCGTTGAATCACTAGTCATAATTGAGCCTTGGCGTTAGAGATCCATCTATTGTGGAAAGTGGCTCTGCCTGTGCAAAAATATCTTGTGACAGCAGTGAATGGCAGTAAATGCGCTTTACAGGTAGACTGAAAGCCCCATATTCCAATCTACCCGAATAATTAAATTCAAAAGCATTTTTGAATTGAGCTCATATCGAATCTCAATG